ATAATATTAGTGCTTAAATCATTTAAAAAAGTACTTTTACTATTCAAATATACAATTTAGCTATTCAATCGAATAATGGAAATCGGAACGCTTTAACCTACTGTATTGTTATATTTAATTTGGTTTGCTTGCTAGTTTTCCTTCTACCATGAAAAAAAAAGTATATTATAATTATGACTACGCAGTATTATGAACTCTATGCAGCGAATAGATACATGGTAAATTATCAGTTAGCGCTATTGAAAATTCAACACGACAAGTGGTGAAAGACTGACTGAAATTTTAAGGCAATCGTAGTAAAATTTACACAACATAGACGCCGCAAAAGTTATCACTACTGTACGCCTAATAAAGGCTACTGACTGAGTACATAGGTTCCTATCTAGTGTCCACTTCAAAGGCACCGACAACTGACCAATCAAATTGTTTCTGCTTCTTTAACTTCCACTCAATAGATTTTGGTTTTTAGACTTCACTTCAGAATCTCTTCTGGTGTTGCATTGTGCAGATACCTGAGTTCAGACTCGTAAGTGACCCATTGCAAGGAAGGAGTTCCTAGTACATGTCACGTGCTGATTGTCAATAGACAGTACTATCCTCACGTTATTAGCATACCGCACACTTCACGGATGATTGCTCAAACCAGTGTATAAAGGACAGACCACAGAATAGAATAGGGTCTAGTATATTGCAGGCATAAAACCTGGACATTGTATCGTTTTGAATTAAACAGATAACAAATATTGAGTAGAGACAGTAAAAAAATTAATAGCACCATGCAAGTTGGAGTGCAACATCAAAGTTGGATGTCGCGAACTAACACAATGGAGAGTTGCGCCGCAGAAATTCGAGAGCTCTCCTCGTCCGGCTCAAGTATGAACAGTTTGTATAGTTCCAGATCTCGTAATCCGGCGACTAATTCGCTGGTATCGCCGTCGTCAGCGGCCGAGCAACACGGTGCGTTTCCGTACGCGGCGTATTCGTGCTACGGTGCGTCCGAACCCCCGAGTCTGAATCACAGCGACTCCGAGATTATGGCCTGCAGCGTAGGCAACGCGTGGGGATCACCGTCCGAGAGAAGTCACTCAAGATCCCAGTATCACAACGGAGCCTTCAGTAACGCCGCGTTCCTAGCTTCAACACAGCAATCTGCACATGCAGCCCAACAACAGTGTCAATATCTTGCCGGGCAAGGTTATTCTGCTGGTTACAGTCTACATCATAACCCTAGTTATCCTTTTGACTTTACAGGTAAGAAAAAAAATCTTAATGTTCTGTTTTTACGAGTAACATTAAACCTATGTATGCATACTATCTCCGTTTCGCTTTACGACAATAATTCAATGCATTGGCCTATAAACATTCGTTAAATTCAGCATTTATTGTAAATATTTAAAAGCATTGATTTTAAAATAACTACTGTCTTAATTTAAAATTATAATAATACTTATATTATTAATAGCCAAATAATGATGTACACATTATGTGAATTTAACGAGTTGCCCCGTGACTCAATCAACTTATGATGGCCATAAATCTGTAGGCCGTTACTTGGTCCATTATTTGGTAATAATTAATACTAACGTACGATTTCTGTCAGTTAATGTTGCTACTCAGTATTTTACGATGTATAATTATATTTTTAGATGGCAACGTCACATAGTTTATACTGGTTTTTACTATTTAACTTAATGATACCAAGTTCTTATTCAATTGCTGGACGGACACTTGTGATTGCGTGACGTCCACGTCAAACAGCTTTGCAACTTTTTTTTCATAATAAAGTCTGATGGTTATGAAATAGTCATAATATTTAGACCTGAAACATCAATATAAACTGAATGTAATAACATGATATCATGATTTGATAATGCTGTAGTGTTAATAGAATGTAAGATAGTTAAAGTGTTAGGCCTGTACTAAAATGTCAATTGTATCGGCGGTAACAAATATTAATTAATGTATTAGCTTATACATACTTTTTGTCATATAGGCCTATGTGTGAGGAAGCCTATATGTTGAATGCCTATATGCAGT